GAAGATCGCTGCCCCACCTCCTCCTCACCGATGCAGCAGTTTCAGCCTCTCACTTAAGCGCTGTGTGGGCTCAGCCCACAGGTCCACCTGGTACCAAACCCAGCTTTCCAGCAAGGCCACCAAGACCTCGGTCACTCGGTACGGGTGCAAACAGAACACAAATGTTGGTGAAAGGAGCTGGAAGAGAAAGCAGTTTCCAGCCTGCTGTCTCAGCGAGGTTTGCAGCCACACATCGAGCACTTCTGCTGTATTCCAGTGACACCCCGTGGCACTTCCCTAAGACTGCAGGCTTTCCAAGTCCCAGTCATCACATCATTAACCATACGGGTACAGAACAGCGAATAAAAAACCAGAGAGAGGACACTGCAACGCCGAGCTGAAGGACTGCTGGTGCAGCAATGCCCGGGTTTGTCTTACACAGCAGAGTTACTCTGTTACAGCCTGTGCCCCTGTCCCCACTATCCCACCTGCTGTTACACCTTCCTGCTGGGCACAAAAACTGCCACGCTGCTCTGACACGGTGGAAAGAATCTGGTTTTAATGCCTGAGCTTCCTGGGTCTTTTATTGCAACGGGGAGCTGCACTTGGCACTGCAATATTTCTGTCTGAGTTACGTGAGTGACTTCCAAGAGACATCCTAACTAGCACCAAGAGGACTGCAGCATCAGAACACACCCATCCACCATTTCAGGAGTATAATTTCTGCATGCATCAGCACATAAAAAAAAAACAAAAACAAAAGACACAAGTGAATTCAAACAGCAGCCTAACAATTTTAATGCTTGCTCTTAACCTCGTGGAAAACACCCTCTTACAAACAGCAAGTGCACTTGCTTTTGTCTTTCAGCTCTTTGCCACATGAAGAAATATACTCAAAGTGGGTCACTTAATACTGCACTGCATGACATTTTGCATCTACTGAACACACCAAGGGCCACCCTGGGCGTATCCTGTGTCTTCTCTGAAATTATATCCTGCAATAACAGTAAACATTTTGAAACGTGGGAGACGTAGACATGTGTAACACAGGTAAAAGCACCCAGGTAACTCAACCAATGACACCTGCACACAGGAAAACCTCAAACAAAAAACTCCACAAGCATCCAAGAGAATGAGCTCACACACAAAAGGTGTTCACATCACTGCAGTGCAATATTCAGAATTTAAGAATTTAAGAATTCTACTTCCTACTAATGGATAAATTATCAATTCCTATAAAGCCTAAGATCAACCAGAAACATTCATTTTTCATAAGTAATGCCCTGCAACACTGCTACTGACCTAGCAGCAAAACACAAGCATTCCAAAACCAGCCACCAGTCAAGAGAAAGAATATTAACAGGGGGGTCAAGCAGCACCCCAAGAAACAAGCTACACATGTACAGCTTGTATATACAGAAAATATATGATATATCCTACACATCTAATGGTATATACATTATACATAGTATACCCCATACACACACACTACACATACCATGTATTTATAGTATATTCACACATATACACATGGAAACACACCTGAAGTTTTTCCCTACTATACATGCAGGATATATGTGTACCTTCTACACACGTTTCTAACAGGAAAGTTTCTTTACACGCAATTTTCGTTGATATAAAACATCAGGTTCAACAGATGGAGATATGCACCAGAAAAAGATGCCCACAGACACACTAAATGGAAGGGGGGAAGAGAAATTTCACTCAGTCAAAGATTCCATCAAGTCTTAACTTATGAGCAAGACAGTAATGCTGAACAGAAGTACACAAATGTGAAGGAGAGACAGAAAAGAAAAAAAAAAAATCTATCCCGATTTTGAATTCCTCTGAGAACTCAAAAACTTGGGAAAAAAGTTCTCTATGTGCTTCCTCATCACATGCTTGTCCTTGTTTAGAAAGATTCATCAGCTACACTCCAGTAGAACACACTAACTAAGAAACAAGAGCAGAAAATCCTGTGGAGTGAGACCTGACAAAATCTTGTTTTAAATGTGAAAAACTACAAACATCCATCCTTCCTCTACACGCTGTGCCAGAAAGAAAAATACATTTTTTAGAAAAGTACTTTTCCTGCCTGAAAAACGACACAAAAAGTTAAAAGGTAAAAACAGTCCTCTCAAGCTGCCTAACACAAGCTTATGTTTCCTGTCACTGGAGGACAACTCAAGATCCACACAGCATCACAAGTTTCACCGCTGTCCTCTCTCACAGATTTCTCATCATCTCCCTCTGCTTTTCTGCTGAAGATGTCCACCAGCTATAATGAAAAAAACACTGTCAAATTTTCCCTTTTAAATATACTCAGACCAAAATGGCACTCCTTGTGCTGGAGCTATCTTTCAAAACTCTTCCTGCCACATAACTTGGGCTTCCTTGTTACACTATTCCCAGGTAAACTGTACCCTAGACTTCTCATTTTGTTCTTTGTGAAATACCTTTCTTGATAAATAACAAAGCAACGTAAATACGCATACCAGGCAGCACAGTAAGTAAAGATCTCACTGTGTTAGCCATAATGTACTCACTTACATTAATGATTGACAGATCTTTGCTTAATGTGCCCTTAAAAACATCAAGAACAGAAATGCCACAACCTTACTGAGCAACCTCTTCCCATGTTTTTCTTAGAAATGTTTTTCTTAGAAAAACAGTGGTATTATTCGTAGGAGAAGACTCAGGTTATTTTGGGCAAGAGGATGCTAATGAGCTGCTTGTACACAACAATCCAAAGACCATCGGACAAAACAAAGCAAAACAAAAAGAGATTTATCATCACAGTCTTGTGCAGCAGGCCAGGCAGGCAGTAGCAACAGCTTCAACAATTAAAATGTCTAGCAATAAAATTATTCTCTTAGTACTGAGATTTCCTCCACAGATAACTCAGAACACAAAACAGGGCTGCTGACTTAACTTCAAATAACTTCTTTTGCTTCTTCATGCTGAATACCTGTCAATGCAGAATTCTAGACGTAAGTAGGAAAAAGTTTCTTTCCCAAGAAAGCTTCCATAGAACAAATAATGCTTGTTAAGAAAGACAGAGAGCCTTTTTACCAGGGCCTGTAACGAAAGGACAAGGGAAAATGGTTTTAGGCTGAAAGAGGGCAGGTTTAGAATGGACATAAGGAAGAAAATTTTGTTATGATGAGGGTAGCAGGACACTGGAACAGGCAGCCCAAAGAAGCTGTGGATGCCTCATCATGAGGGGTCTCATCATGGTCAAGTTGCTCTGAGCAACCCTACCTAGCAGGTGCCTTCCAGCACCTGAAGGGAGCCTACAAGAAAGCCAGAGAGGGGTTTCTCACAAGGGCTCATGGCTGTAACTCTAAGGATACAATTTTTTCCTGTAGAAGTTGAGGAAAACCTAGTAAGGAAGATGTAATGGATATGACACTGGCATATTGTTCCCAGTGAAGAGTGCACAGTGCTAAAGATTTCCAGCTTCACTGATCAGAAGCTCAACTCAGCATGGCTAGGAGGAACAAGAGGAACAAGCCTCCCAGGAACATGCATGTTTACGTGACCATGTGCTCTTCCAGTCCATTTTATTTAATTATTAGGCCTCTTTTGAGATTTAAAAGCAAAATAAAACTGCTTGGCTTTGCTTAGACAAAGAGAAACTAAATAGAATCATGAAGCCCACAAGGAATCTAAGTTCACCTCTTCAGCTCCCCAAGCTAGCAGATCACAAGGCACAAGTTTTTAGAATTAGCTCCTAAAATCTTGAAACTTCTTCAGCCTTTCCAGAAAAATAATCTTTCATGTGAAGAATACAGATAAAGAGACCAGTCCAAAACAGAACAGCTTCTCAGCTGGGCCTGTGGCAGATCTCAAGAGTCTCTCAAGAGTCAACTCAACAGGCACACACTGCTTTTTGTACTGAACACAAATATCACAGTCTGGTTGTCCAAGTAATAACAACTACTTGAGGCTGAAAAAGCTATTCTCAAAAGTGATTCAGCATGCAAAACTCCTGAGCAGTCACCAGGTATCACCACGTCTCAGGAGACTCGAGGGAAACAGCAGGCCAAGTGACAGAAACGGAAAGGAAGATGATTTCTGTCACACATCCACAGCTTCAGGTCCAAAGTAAGACCAGAAAAAGCAACACAGTCACCAAGACAACTTAACAAATGCATGTTTAGGAGTTGAAGGACCTGGACTGGTCATCTAAGGCAGTGCCTTCCAGCTTTTCCACCTCAGCCTTTAGGGCTGCCTTAGTGATGCCTTTAGGGCAAAATGGCTCCAGTAACTTCCCTGCAGCCATGCATGAATCAGTGACCTAAACCCTCAGCTGTACAACACCACACATCATTTCTTCCAGCAGCAGGGAGGGCTAAACATCCCAGCTCCGTCCTGCAAGGCATGAGCAAGTGCTGATGGCCATGTATGCCCACACAGCAGGCCTTGCATTTTCAAAAAAACATGAGCTCCCCCAGTGTCCACTGCACAGAGTAAGAACACAGAATGAGTGCAGGGGATGTACGAAAAAAACAGCGTGAGGAAAAGAAACAAAGAAAAGTCTCAGTCCATCTACCCCAATCCAAAAAAACAAGAGGAAATCTGCTCTGTGTTGGAAACTCCCACAAGATATCTTGATTTCAAGCAACTGAATGCATGCACAGGTAGTTATGACTCTGAGAGAGTAACACACGTAAACAGACTAGAGCAAAACTGGAAACTGTGATCCATTATATATCAGAATGTAACACAGCATATCTCATCAGCCAGTGGTACAGGGCAAGCTGGCATGCTCAGAACTGTTCTGTCTTCACAGTAGATGGTTCCACTGCGGACATTACTAGCGCACCTCTAAACCACTTCATCCACTCTTTAGAAGGTCGTGACAGAACAAAAGAAAGTAAGGTTTAAAACAAGCGGGATAGTGAAAAATAGGGACAGAAATATGAACTTCAGTAGGAACCTCAGGATACACAAAGCACACATTCCATTAGGTACAAAAAAAAGATAGCTTTAAAAGCAGAGGAAGAGCAATCACCTACCTTTCAAAAGGGGCTGGAAAGTTGGAATTTCCTGCAGTTTTATGACATCTGGATCATTGCTGACATTCCGTGAGGATTGTGTTCCCGGGGCTACCACCACGATGTCATCCATTTTTGCGCGTTGCTTGGCTGGTAAAGGAGACGCTGGAAGAATATGGGAGGGAGAGGGAACAATCAATAAGCAGATTCCATCAGAATCCAACCCTACGTGAATGTTGCTCTATTTAACACTGTGCAGGTATGCCTTTTATAGTACAAACACATTACAGAGATCACTGGAAGACCCTAAGCTCCTTTCTCTCTTTCCAAATCGGGTTAACAGCTGATTCTGAAACACCTGCAGCACTGACACCCTCCTGACTCCTCCTCCTCCTCTGTGCCCACCGTGCTCCCAGCTCTCCCCCGGCCCGGGCGGTGCCCCCTCGCCGTCACAGGAAGGGCCGGGCCGGACCCGCCGCTGCCTCGCAAGGGAACAGCTGTTCCCTGCTGCACAGCCGGTGCCCCTCGCCACCGCCCGCGGGCAGCCCCTTTCCCCGGGGGCAGCCCCTTTTCCCCGGGGCGCAGCCCCTTTTCCCGGGGGCAGCCCCTTTTCCCGGGGGGGCAGCCCCTTTTCCCCGGGGCGCAGCCCTTTTCCCCGGGGGGGCAGCCCCTTTCCCCGGGGGCAGCCCCGTTCACAGCGCCCTGTCTCTATTATCTCCTGTCTCTATTGCCTCTTGCCCCCTCCCTGCCGTCCCCGACCTGCGGCGCTGGGCTCCCCCGGCCGGCTCTCGGCCTCCGCGCTCTGCTCGGCTCCCATGGCGGTGCCTGCTCGTTCGCCGCCGCCCACGGGGTTCCGTCGGGCCGGGTGACGGCGGCGGCTCCGCCCGCGGGCGGGGCTCCGCTCGGGGCCGCGGGGCGCTGCAAAGCATCGCTAATCTGCCTGCGCCGGAGGTGGAGGGAGGTGACCCCGCTCCGCTGCTTAGTGAGATCACATCTGCAGTACTGCGTGCCCTTCCGGGCTCCTCAGTGTAAGAGGCTCCAGCGGAGGCCACAGAGATGATGAGGGGTCTGGAGCGTCTCTGTTATGAGGAGAGGCTGCGGGAGCTGGGCCTGTTTAGTCTAGAGAAGAGAAGACTGATAGGGGATCTCATTACAGCATATAAATATCTCAAAGGCAGGTGCCCAGAGAATGGTGCCAGCGTCTTTGGTGGTGCCCGGCAACAGGACAAAGGACTAATGGCCATAAAGTAAAACACAAGAAGTTTCATCTCAACATGAAGAAGAACTTCTTTACACGAGGGTGGCAGAGCACTGGAACAGGCTGCCCAGGGAAGGCATGGAGTGTCCAATTGGAGACATTCAAACCCACCTGGACAAGTTCCTTAAATGTCTCTGCCTTGGCAGGGGGGTTGGAGTAGGTCCCACTATTCTCCCTCTCTCAGCTTCCCTTCCTTCCCATCTTAGTTGTGAAGGGAGCACAGCAGCTGCTGGGCAAGGCTGGCACTCCCCTCGCCAGCAGACAAGGTTTCTGCATAGCTTTTGATGGGCCTCGGCTCCCCTGCACCTCATCAGCCTGAGCAATTTGCTTCTGGTCTCTCAGGGAGGCTGAGCACCTGCCCTGCCAAGAAGAGGCAGGAAGAGCAGAAATCGGCCATGGTGGCTGGACGAGGGCAGTCATGTTATCCCCAGTATCTCCTCTGCCCTGCTCATATTAGAGATCACATCAGCCCTTCTCATATTCCCATAATCATCTGTGCCTGTCCCCCCACGGTAGTCTCTGTGCATATTTTCACATTCACTATCATTACAGTACCCTCACACCATTAACACTATCCCAACAGTCCCGGTAAAGAACGAGTTTCATCACCCTCCACCAACCCAGCCAGACCTTTAGCCTCATTTTTTGACTTCTTTCTGCTTGGGCTTCTTCCATCACCACTCTGTAAGCAAAGGCAGGTGGCAGCTGCAACTTGGTCTAACACATAGTAGGAGTAATACCTGGGCTTGCTTTTAGTATTCATTCCCATTGTCATTCACTGTGTGACGCAGTTAATTGGTGACACCTTAAGTGTTCACATTCTCTTATAACTTCTTCTTTAAACAGTGAATGTTACCAGTTTACCAAAAGAGAGATGCCTGGCTAGAAAGAAACATTTTCTTAAACAAGTGCAGCTGAAAATTTCAGATAAAAACTCCCCACCAAGAATGTGAGAATCACAACCAAACATTAAGAATTGCCCCAAAATAGCCATTTGATGCAAAATGCGATGGTGGGCTCAATCTCTTAGAACAATCATGGCCAAAAAAAAGCCAAATTAACAGCTGTATTAACAAAGGGGACTGACTGAGCATCAAGAACATCCATCCCCTGGCATCTAACCATTACAATATATAAAATAACCCGCCCTTTGGTATCTCTTCAGGTAATGTACCATCTCTAAAATGTCTCTTTTAATTACAGGAAACTAAATAAAAGGTCTCTTTCCTGAAAAAGAAGGAATGTGTCCTATGATCCTTTCATTCTTTGCACTCCTTTGTCCCTGGGCTACTTTTACTCCTAAACGCTACCCCAAAAATAATAAGAAAAAAATTAAAAAAGAGGAAATAAAAAAATTCCAAGCAAAACCATTAATTACTTAAGCAAGCAATTTCACAGAGACAGCTGAGGGAAGAATAGCTAAGCCACCAGTCAGTGGTCCTAGGAGACAGGCTATTGTGTACAACTCCCATTGCTCAAACACCCTGTGCTTGGCTGTGATTTGGACAGGATTACTCAGGTAGCAAGGAGTCTCTTACACAGCCATGGAAATAGATCCATGTCCGTTTAGCCCAGGATATGCATATTAATCACTTTCGCTACAGCCTCCAAAAGCAGATCTGACTGTGGGCAAAACCACAATAGCCTGACCAACCAAGAATTTCACCGTGTGGTTTTGCCTTTCTGTCCGATACTCAGGAAGGGCCCTTGGTGTCGGCAAGCAGCTGGAGGAGCGGGAACATCCCCACAGCCCTGCCGGCAGGCAGAAGGGCAAATGGGCAGGAGAAGGGCAGGGAGGAGGCAAGGCAGGGAGGAGGAAGGGAGGACGAGGGCAAAGAAGGGAAGGCAGGCAGGCAAGTAGGCAGGTAGGTAGGCAGATAGGCAGGTGGACAGGCAGGTTGGTAGACAGGTAGGCAGGCAGCAAGGCAGCTGGTAGACAGGTAGGTAGGTAGGCAGGCAAAAAGGAAGGCAGGCGAAGGGCAGGAGGAAGGAAGGGAGGAGGAGGAGGGCCGGCGGGCGGCCCGGGCCCGCCTCCCGCGGTCCCTCCTCCCGGACGTGCCGGGGCACCCGCGGTCTCCCCGAGCCGGCCTCACGATCCGCTGCCTTCCCGTCGCCGGGCGGCAGGGGGACAGCCCGAAGGTGCCCCCAGAAACGCCTCCCCGCCCGGGGAGTAGAGGAGGCACCTCGGCGCGGCTTCCCCGGCTGCCAGCGCTTGGCGCGGCTGGCCAAGAAACCCGCCCTCCCGGGTCACCATGTCCCCGGGTGGCGGCCGGGGCTTGGTTCGCCTGCTGCTGATCACCTGCGTGATGGCCGGGCCGTCCCTGAGCCAGGAGTGTTCGGCGGAGAGAATGGAGAATTCCATCATCGATATAGACCTGTCCCTGCCCCGGGGTGTCCGGGGCGCGGAGCCGCTCCGCGTCCCCAGCGCGGGTGCCTGTGTGCGCGCCTGCTGCTCGGGGCACAGCCTCGCAGGTAACCTCGGCCGCCCTCCCCGCCGCTGCCTGCCGCCCCAAAGCCTAAGATGCCTAGGCTGTATTTAGTAGGCGCGCTACAGAGTGACTGATGTTTTGCGCTGACGTTTTTTTGTATTTAATTTTAGCCCAAAATGAGAATGCTTACCCATCTCTGTGGTGGCTGGTTTGCATCAAGCTCTTGGAGCAGCAAGGAGGCAAGGCAGGAAGTAGAAACGACAGGGGTAGAGGTGACCCTCCCAAGCAGCGAGACGACTAGCAATTCCTGGGATGTAATAGGGAAAAACGTATAAATAATTTTCTTCCCCATGAGTTTATCAAGGAGGTTTTCAGATTTATCAGGATTTGTAAGCGAGAAGTTGTTATATAAAGTGGTGCCGTTGTGGTACAGGTAAGGGGAAGATGAGGGATTAGACTCATCATTTCCCTAACTTTATTTGTACAGGAAGAGGAAGGTGTGACCTTTTGTATTTTGGCCACGGGCCATTCTTTTGTAGTCCTTGGCTGTTTTTCCTGTAGGGATGTTATGAGTTAGTAATTTTCCTCTTACTCACATGAAGAAAAATTAACGAAATAGAGCTCATTATCACACTGCTATAAAAGTTCTTATTGCTGAAACACACATTTATGATGTTTTGCAGGAGACAAGAGGTGTAATTTGATGATTTTTTACGCTGGAAGAACAAGAGCACATCCAAACTGCTACCTGTTTCACTGCCCTACCACAGACGCTTGTCCCATGAAACCTGCAAAAGGACTTGTGAGCTACAAGATAACTAGAGGTAAATAACAGAGATTATTTAATAATAATAATTTAATAATAGACCCCACACTAGAGGACTTTTCCACCTGTGAAATTTCAGTAGTGGCCAGAAAATAGTTTTTTTGTGTTTTTAGTAAAATGTTCTAAGCCAAGCCCTATAAATTGAGAATGTTGCCCCTTTGCTTTGTGGAAAATGGATGGGCAGGTATGTGGTGAGTTTCTCTGTGGGCCCAGCTTCCTGCTTGGAATAACATCATGACCCTTATAAAATTCCTTCACGTTAGATTGAGAGCTCCTCATCATTTGCCCTTGCTTAAAAAGAAGCTGCTGCCATATTGATATATTCTAGAAGGAAGATTTCCTGGATGTAACGATGAAGATCACTGAAAGCAGTGGAAGTACCGTGCCCTTTTTAAAGGGCTCATGCTATGCTGATCAATAATTGGCAATGGTAATCATTATTTTCTGTTTTCAGTAAGGGAACCTGAAGTGCAGAAGCAAACTTTCTAAAGAGATATAAGGGAGCTTTCTAAACTTGAAGAATTTAAATGTCACTGTGTATATTTTAAAGAAAAGAAGTTCATGATGCCTCAGTTTCATTAGTCATTACCTCCCAGAGCTCCCTTATATCTCTCTTTCTAAAAAATACAAATTAAGGAAGGCTATGTTAGTCAAAAAGAGATTTAATAATTAAATACTGGTATTTCTGTTTCCAGATACTCATGCCCCAGAGGATAAATCCATCAAAACTGAGAACTTTTCTTCAAATGAGTATTCTTTGTCTTCGGATGCAGGAACCTTTTTTTCTCACAGTCAGAACAGCCCTCAGAATCATACTGCCACTTCGCAACAATCTGTGTTTCATCAGGCATCTGAACTCGTGAAGCACATAGGCAAGCATTTAGACAACATTGAATTTCATACAGATTTTCCTGAATCTCAAAGGGCAGAACAGTCTGAGAGCTTAGATTCCATCCCAAGGCAGAAAGTAATTAACCTGCCACCCAACATGTTTTCTGCTGTTCAGACTGGAAATCCCACTGCTTCATTCCCCACCACTCGGTCTGGTGCTCCTGAAACCAGCAGTACTGCTCTTACTCCTCTGCCTATAAGTACCACCAAACCGGAATTTCATACAACCCCTCTGCATCCTCGTGTTGCCAAACCTACCATCACCCCCACCACAGCTACCTCTCCTCCTGCCACAGCCTCTGGAGCTAAACCTGGTGCCCCTGTCACCAGCATCGCTGCTGCTCACGTTCCTCTCTCCAGTCCCACAACTTCTACAGCCGAGCGAGTGACCGCAAATTCCAGACCTGCTGCTGCTCCAGCAGGGCTAAGGACTCCAGCCACGTCTCCCGAGCCAACAGCTCTCTCTCGCAATCACACCAGCCATGGGACCCTCCCCTCTTCTTCAGATTCCATTCTCTCTACTGGTGGTTCCCCCACGTCTCCCCAAAACGACCTCCGGGGTGATGACCCGTCTGACTCAGAAGGCCACCTGTCAGAGGGTGTTCTGGGAGGGAAAGGTGTTGTTCAGCTGGGGGAGAAAAGCAGCCTTGTGGCAGCTTTGCTTTTTGGGGTGATATTCTTGTTGCTAGTTATTGCACTGACAGGGAAGAAAATCCACGAGTCTCTTCAGAAGAGGCATTATACCAGGCTGGATTACCTGATCAATGGAATGTACGCTGACGTCTGATGGGCGAGCGGGGAATGACATTTTAAGGAGCATCTCATTTTTGAGAGGGCAACTCTGAAATGGAACAGTAGATGCTGAAGTCTCAGAAGAGGATGGATTCCTTTTTTCTCCCCTAATGGGAAAGCAGAAGGCATGACATGGGTTTGGTGGGGAAAAGAAATGCTCTTTCTATGCTGAACTATAATGTCTATCATTTTTGATTTATACTAAATCCTGAAAATAAACACTCAAATCCAAGTTAATCTAAGAAGGTCTTATATTTAAGGAGAAAAAGCATTCCATGAGCTTAATTTGTACCGTGACAAGATCAGTGAAATAGAAGTACACCTAATAAATTGAGTGCCTGTGCAGCACGAGGGTGTTTTCAGTGCTGTTTGCACCACATACCACAGTGTTACATGATTGCCTGGCAATCCCATTTACTCTATCTGTAGCTTTACAGGAATACTTAGTAATAGAGCTTTGCATTCAAAGTATCCACGTCAGGCAGCATAATCTACACCAAAGGTCCCGGCAGAGAAGGAAGGGTGCCTCCTGAATGCAAGGAAACAATTCTGTTGCAAAACATGAAATGTGACTCACAGCCAAGAGATTGGTACATCTGTCAAGCTTAGTGTGGTGGGAAGCGGGCGTGATCCAAAAATGGCCTCAAGGCAAGTTTTCTGAAAGCTCTAAGAAAATTCCCTGAAAATTCCATTGTTCAGAGATCAAAGAAATGTCAAGAAGTTGAATTCTTACTATAAGGGGGGGCTGCACATTGCTTTACAGCTACAAACCCAGCTGTTCTGTAAATGAAAAGCATTCTGGATAACCTCTTAAAGGTGAACAAAATTACAAATGAAAAGTATCTCAAATTCATCAGCTTGTGGCTGCACTTTGTTTAACCTCAGTTGTGTTTTTTTAATAGACATTTTCAGAGGTTTGTGGCCAAGGAACGTGATAAGAGGGAACAACTTTTCTAGGAGATAAGTTCACAGACTGATAAGTACTGGGTGTAGCTGTAAAAATACAGATCTTAGGTTGACCATAATTCACTCTCACGAGAACTAAAACTTCATGAGAAGCTTTCTCCGTTGCAGGTGAGCTCACAGCAGCTTATTGCGGGAGAGGTGCTGAAAACGAATCCTCACTTCTGTGCATTTCTGCTGTCATTTGTTGGAGGGAAAGATGTTGGTATTAATTGATAAGGTTACAGTACAGTAGCAAAATGTTCAAGAGAAGACAAGCAGGTATATCTTGGGGTTGTTCAGAGCAGTGGGCATGTTACAAATGGGGAATTGTTAGGTGACCAGTTTGGATCTTTCTAGAGGAGCCTTTACGAGCTGTGTTTGAACACTAGAGGGCAACAACAGTTTATTAAATAGAATTGACGTGTTCTGAGGATGACAATTAAAAAAGTTTTAATTAGTTCATTTTTTAACTTTCCAAACAACGGATATTTCATTCCAAAAAATGTTTTATAGGAAAGCTTTTTGTTTACTGGAAGGTTCTGGGTGGAAGATTATATACACATGGTTTTAAAACATCTTACTGTATCATACAGTGTAGAAGACAACAAAACTAAGCATATTATCTTCTCTATGTTAATAACATTAAATCAGATTGCATTATTAGTCATGTATTGGCATTTCCAGTAAACAGAGAAAAAGAGAGAAAATAGTTCTTCAGTTTAGTTCTGGTAGGAGTAAGAAATGCTTATACTCAGGATTGTTTCAAGTAAATTACCAACCAACTAACAAGAAACAACAAACAAACAACGAAGAAACAAAAAACCACCCAAAAAAGAATTACATGGGAAGGCAGTTTCAAACATGGATGTTTTTTCCTTTTTGCAAAACCACCTTAGTGGATTTGAGTCTGACAATAGTGCTTTGATCCTACCATAAAATCGCTGCTCTTTGTCTCCTTTGTGGAGGCATCTTTCTTATGAGGATGGATGGAGAGAGCTCAGGTTGCTTAGCCTGGAGAAGAGAAAGTTCCAGCATGACCTTACTGGGGTCTTTTCCCTGTTCATGAGGGCCAAGAAAAAAGGTGGACAGAGGCTTTTTAGCAGAGCCTGTAGTGACAGGGCAAAGAGGAGTGGTTTCAAACCGAAAGAGTTGAGATTTAGATTGGCTGTAAGGAAGATATTTTTTTTTCTGATGAGGGTGGTGAGACACTGACACAGATTGCCCTGAGAAGGTCTGGATACCTCATCCCTGGAAGTGTTCAAGGCCAGGTTGGAGGGGGCTTGGAGCATCCTGGGCTAGTGGAAGGTGTCCCAGCCCATGGCAGGGTTGCTGGGCTAAATGACCTTTAAAGGGCCCTTCTGACCCAAATCATTCTGTGGTTCTGTGACTCTAATTGAGGGGTAGTACCCAAAGTGGGAGCAACAACTAAACAACTGCTGTATACAATGCTCTGCAAACATTTTTGTCTCCTGCCTTTAAGTGGTTTTGGCCTGTGGCTCCCATTGCTGTTTTTTTAACACTGTGACTGGAACACCTTTTGATATACTGAATTCATGATTTACTGTCCCAGTATATCATAGGCCACACATATCCTAACTGTTTCCTGCTTTTGAAAGTGCCAGGGTTCTTACACCACACATGAAGACAGGACTCTAAATCATAGTTTCTTTCAACACTGAGAGCTTTGCTTATCTTAAAAAAAAAACCCACCTCATTTTGGGAAAATAGCATTTTAAATGTATTATTCAAAGGACAGATTTCTTAACGTGCCAAGAATAAATGGGGACTTTGTTCTGTGTAAGCTCTTTTCAGATTGCTGTAAAGGTGTTAGATTTTTCACAATTGTAATAAGGAAAAAAATTAGTAGAAGATGCATTAAGTACAAAGCTCTGAGACTGAAAAAGGCACTGGAAGGAGCTTTATGAGTCAGGGCTATTCAGACACAATTCCCTGTCTTTTATTCAGTCTTTTATTCAAAGATCCACGTGACCAAATATGGTCTTTGTGGGCTTGACTGGGGAGGGGATAGAAAAATGATGATTTAAAGATTTTTTTTAAAAGGTAAGAATTTTGTCCTTGAAGTTTACTCACGAAAGAGTGGTATTGTGCTCTAGGGCATTCACAGTAACTTTTATAATGCTGAAATAAACTGGATACTATGTCCTTCATGCTACTTTTTCAGACCTTAAAACACATTTTCCATAGTGAAACGTAAAATTTGTCAAAAAGAATATGAGTAAAAGTTCTGAATTGTCAGGTCATTGCTTTTTCCCCTGATAAACCCTGGGTAATGGTAGTTTAATGAAAATTAAGAATTACCAAGAATATGCCTCCATCTTTATTTTTAATAACTACCTAGAAATCAATTAAGGGGGTAAAAAAGATTTGGGTGTTCCTTGAAATAATAAACTGTTCCAACATCTTGCATTTGTGTGGCCTTGCCTTACAAATCTCTTAAAAGAGGAAAACTTCATAAAACATCACAAACACATATTGAACCTAAAGATTAACCATTAGAGGGCAATCTTTTCTGATCTGAGCAACTCAGCTTGCTTTTCTAGTGTATTTTGAGAATTTGACTCATAAAAACAACACCCATGAAGAGGTATCATGGTTTATGATCCACAGCCATATTCCTGAGGTGCTTAGCGTCTTTGATGACCTGAGGACTAATTTTTATATTAACATAAAAATAAAGACATAAACATGAGCATGACTATAAATATGAGATATAAACAAGAAATACAACTATGATTCTTCCTTACAAAGTTTGAACTGAAGAGGGATGAGCCTCTTTGCTTGCCATAAACTGCACTTTATGGTACAGTAGTTCAGCCCAGAAGTGGCTACTGTGAGTGGCAAATGAGCTCCTTCCTACATACAGATGGTGTCTTACCCTGTGTGCATTATATAAATTGAAAGTTGTTGTAGAAGAGATTGCCAATTACTGTGACACAGTGACTTACCTTTCTTGACCCTAGGCATAAATTCTAGTCACTAATCTCTGTGACTAAAAGAGCGCAAGGAAATGTGCAACGCTTTACCCAGCAACTAATTTTTAAACTTCAAAGGCTGCAGTGCAAAGCAGAATTGTTAAATATTATGCATATTGCAAAATGCTGAAGGGGTTTGAAAAGGAAATATTCTTAAATTGTTGTTGCTCAAAAGGCACGCACGTTATGGTTAATAGAGCCCAGATGCTGACTTGGTTTTGAAAAGCTGAGCAAGCTAAAACAAAATAGTGTTTTGGTGTATGTCAGCCTGAAATGTGAGCTCTTTTAAAGGGATGTTCTTGCTGTATCAACACAGCATTAAAAACACTTTACAAATTGTAGAACAGTAACTTTTCTCAAATGACGTTTTTATAACGTGGCTTTGAAATGCAGCTACGGCTAAATATTCACGGGGAAAGTTTTGGGACTTGCCCTGTGGTCTGGTGGGCAGCGCCAAATTAAAAATCGCAATCCTGCACGGTTCATGCTGAGAACCACGACCGCTGAAGCAGCACATCCTCAAGCAGTCCTGGATGAGCTTGTTTCCTTTGCTAGGTCTGCCAGGTCTCCTCAGTGTGACAGGTCTCCTCCAGTGGTTTGCAAGTCCACCCCTGAACAGCTACAGGACCCTGTTAAAGTGACAAAATACGTGAAAGAAAAATGCTGTGGCAGCTCCAGAGAGGCACAGAGTTATGCCGTGTGCTGGGCCCTGCCTACTGTTTATCAGACACTGCTTGGCACTGAACAGCACCCTCAGGAGGAGGGAGAAAGCAGCCCCTGTGTCTGCCACAGGCACCGTGGCCACTCAAACTGCAGCCCAACAACTGTGCCAGCAGCGGCTGCCCCTACACAGAAGAAGAAATCCAAGACAAAATCAGTTTGCTTGGTGAGGGATGAAGAGGAAGCAGGGCCCTCAGAACAGGAGGAACAGGCAGGGCCAGAGATAATCCCCCAGTCCCCGTCCCCGGGATAGGATTTCAGCTGCCACTCAGGGGAGCCCCTGGTGACCTGGCTGCTCCAGTGCTCGGATGTCGTGGCCCACAGTGTGGAACTGGATGGCAGTGAAGCCAAGCAACTGGAATGCCTGTCCTGGGATGTGGGCACTGGGAAGAGGACAGAAACTCTCAGCCTCTGGAGAAAACTCCCGTCAAGTGCAAGGGAGGAGGTTGGCTCTTCTTTTCTGGCCCTCCCTCCTTAGCGGACATTCGTGTCCTGCAAACTAAGACAAGCTAATAATCATTAACTGGCTTAGAGGAAATCCAAGCAGGAGAGAGTTCAAATAATTGAAAAATGGTAAAATGCCCCAGTGTGAGGGGTGACAGCATACAGTGCTCAAAAGCTAAAAATAAAACTGGACAGCAGGGAAGATTGTCTTTAAGACAACCAGGCAGGGGATCAGGCTCCCAAGAGACATAGTCAAGACACCAGAGCGTTTCCAGCAGAAACAGATAAGATATGAGGGGGAATGGCATGTAGAGAAATGTGTTTTGTGATGCACAATTCAGGCTGGAGGTTTTCCTCAGCTGTGCACTGTGAGATGGAAGATACAAAGAATTCCTTACAGGTCTGCAACACTTCTCCAGAGGTTAATGGCAGATTGTGCAAAATTGTGAGTATGGAAGAAGTATAAGGGAACTGTAGAAGAAAAAAACAAAACAAAAAATCACCACCGTCTTTTCTTCGCTGATTCCAATTAAACAGTGAAAATAAATTAAAAAGTCTGCTCCTTCTGCCCACTCCTGCAAAACCAACAAGGGCTGGACACAGGTTATCTACTAGGTTGTCTAGGCTATGTTTTTGCATGGAAAGCCCTTCCCCTCTACTATCCATGAGGATCTTGCTTGAGTTCCCTAATCCTCCCAGCTGACAGCATAGTAACAGAGGAGGCACTTCCATCCAGCAGGCAAGGACAACATTTTGGAATGTAGACCTGGCTCTGGGCAGGTCTTGCTGTTGAGTTGCATCTGAAATACACTTTTTTTTAATAAAAATGATGAAGTTTTGTTTGGTTTTGTTTCTGCACAGTAAAAGTTGAGAGTCTGACATCACATGTCACCAGGAGCCTGTCCTCAGAATCAGTCAGCTATGCCCAGGCCTTTAAGCTGGCCCAGATGTCACCTCCTACTGTAATAGCAAGAAAAGCTATGAAAATATGTGTTGGACAGACACGAAATTAAAACTTAAATGTTTCTAGTAATCCAGAAAATAATACCACCTTTGGAACGTAAGTGTATCAGAAGTTGCTGCAAGTTCTTCTGCTTCATACCATCATTCTGCTCAGCAGCTGTCACACTCTGTGAGGGAGAACGCGAGGTAGGCATTTAAACTTAACGTTCCTTGTTGAAATAATGAAATAGATTTTCTGATCTAGAGGAAAGCAAGCTGCGTTTTGTATTATTTATTAGGAACAAAAGAAGAAGATGAGGAGGGAAGTTTGTGGGTTTTTTTTTTTTGAAACTGAGAGTGTATTACAAAATCTTAACTTCTTAGCTTCTTCGGGAGAAGGGTATGTTTACGTGAATGCAAGAGGGGAAAAAGGCTAAGTTATGTTTAAACACAGTATATTAGCGACTCAGCACAAACCCATCTTACCACATTTAGTTTAACAAGGGGGGAAGAGACAGATAACCCAAAGCACCCACAGAGAGTGCCGGGAAACAAATCACGCACCATTACCTCAGCCGAGCAGCAATCCCTTGCTGACAGGGGAGGGGACTCCTGCACACGCCCTGCTCTGGGAAAGGTTGGGATCGCCGCTGTCCAGCCATGCCCACGGGGGTCCCGCCGTGTGCCCGCGCCCTCAGGGCTCCCCCGCCCCTCAGCGGGGCTCTTTGTGCGCCCGGCCCGGCGCCGCGCGCGACAAGTAGTGCCGGCCTCACGTAGCAGCCGGCGGAGGGGGCGCGAGGGGACACGAAAAGTAGTCCCGCTGGAATGCGACCGCGGCCGCCGCCGCCTCGCCCCGCCCGCCTCCCTCTCCCCGCGGAGGGGCAGGGCGGCGCCGCCGATCGCCCTCCCGCCCGAACGGAGCTCCGCCGGGCCGCTGTCCCCGCCGTGCCGGAGAGGCTCGCCCGTCCGCGGGGAGCGCTGGCGGGGGGCGGGCGCTGCGCCCGGCCGGGAGGAGGCGGGGAAGGAGGCGGAGAGCGAGGGCTGTATCCCTGCGCCGGAGGGAGGGAGAGAGGGAGGGAAGGAGGGAGGGGGAGGGAGCGCGGCGTCGGCGCTGAGCGGCGGCCGCGGCCGGCATGGAGGGCAGCGCCCGCTCCCGCGGCGCCGCGCCGGGCCCGGGGGCCTGCTAGGCACGGGCGAGGGGGGAACCTCCGCGGCCGCCCTTCCCCGCCCCCATCTTTTCCCGCCGCCTCCCCGCCCGCCTGGAAGCATGAAGTGGCAGCGGAGGTGCTGCTCCTCGCCGCCGCCTCCCCGCCGGTGAGAGCGAGGAGGGAGCGAGGGAAGATGGGGCCCGTGCTGCGCAGCCTACTCGCCTGCAGTTTTTGTTCGCTGATGAGAGGTGAGCGGGGAGGGGCAGGGGGAAAGTTGCCGGGCTGGCGGCGAGGGGCCATGTTTGGGCGTGCGGGAGGGGAGCGGCCAGGCCTGGCTGCCGGCGGGGCGCGGGGCCCGGGCGGGGAGAGGAGCGGAGAGGAGCGGAGAGGAGAGCGCTCCCTCCCTCCCTCAGCGCCGGCCGCCTCCTCCTTCCCCGCTTCGGGAGCCGCTCGCCCGGCCGAGCCGGGGGCTGACCGCCCTGCCCGCGGCCAGCGGCCGCCTCCCGAGCCGCCCCATTGTTGTTTTCAAGTTTGTTTTTTTCTTCTTCTTTTTATTTTTTCTTTTCTAAAAAAGAGCTCCCCGAACTAGCTCACGTCCCCCATCCCTCCTCACCCCCCAGCGGTCCGTGGGGCATAGCTCGGCCACGCCTGTGTCAGGCCGGTCCCACTGTCCCCATTACCAGGCTGCTCTCCTTTCCCCCCACCCCGAGTGTCGATCGCGCCGGGAGCCTCGCGTGTTCAGCGTGGGGAGGCTGGAAAATGCCCGGGAATCGGTGCTTCCCCGACACTTCACGAGAGGAGGAATGAGTGCAGCGCTTCCCTCAGCTGGGCTGGCTCTGCGCTGGGACTCCAGAGAAGTTTGTGTTCCACGGGCGAACCGCCACGGATGCTCGTACAGCTTTAAGTCGGCCTTACGGGGGGGATGTCACTTTAAAGCAGCTGAGGATTTTGGTTCTACTTCCCGACTCCGACAAAATTTCTTGTCCTGCAGGGCACAATCTGGAAAGAAAACAGGATTTTTTTTTTAATTTTTTTTTTTTTAATGCTATAAGGCTAACTACTGTAGCTATTTCTCTGGGTTCAGTATTTCTGGGAAGGAATCGTCTGTGGTGTTTGCATACTTCATTTTGCTGTTTACTCGATTTTTTTCTTACTAGATGGGGAAGAGGTTAATTGCTAACAGTTTATCAACGACACTTTGATTTAGAAAATTCATCCATGCTAGAGTGTTTTGGTAAAGATTAGAGTAACTCAGGTTAGGTGGTGTAGGCTGAAGTAACTGCTCTGTCTCCAATTGCTCGGTACTCTGAAAAACAAAGATTTTCATCTCCTCCATAGCCTTTTTTTTCCACTCTGTGCATCTGTTTGCCATATTGTATCCTGTTTGCAGAGATACAAATACACTTATTTAAATAGTACGTGTAAGATTTCATACTTCTGCAGTAGCAGTTAAACCCCAATTTTCAAAAGTTGAGTCTAGAGTACAGGGAGAAACGCTTCCCTGATTAGTTTATTTTGATAAGTAACAATCATGCCCGTTCTTAGTGTACCATGTTTGTCTTTAATGTTCAGCCTAGTTCAAATGACAGCACAGAAATAGCTGCTGCATGTGATGTCAGATAATGTTGTTCCTTTAATTTATTCAAATCTCAAAATAGTGAGGTGTGCTTTTGCAAATTTTTGTATATTTGATGCTTAATAGGACACTTTGAAGAAGCATTCAGTTTATAAATCATATGACTGTCATTTATTTTCTTGTCTCTTGTCTCTGTTGCCAAGGACACTTGTATCTGAGCAGTGTTTTTGTTTTTAATGTGTTCCTGGTTCCCTGCTGTCCAATCACCTACCTGAAGTAATAATCTTCTGTTTTGTGACGTGATAGTAATTTTCCTACTGGCTAATTGTTACTTTAGGTAGAGATAAACAACAGGAACACTTGAGCCGTGAAGAAACAAAAATCAAATTTTAATTATATATCCTCCCTAATAAACAGCATCTGTGCAAGTGGAATTGGTTCAGATAAGCTGTGTTGAGTTCAGAAGAGGTGTCAGCAGTTCCTTAGTGAGGCAGAGGCAATGCCAGCATGAGTGTGAATAAGCTCCTATGTGAAAGTAGAGGTGAAGTTGGGAAGTTCACTGTTTGGGTTTGCGAATTCGGTGCTGTGGAGGATGCCGGGCCAACAGTGCTGGAGACAGAAACTCAGAAATGTAATAGTGAGTGTTTGTGGACTGCAGCATCCTCTCTGCTCCCAGAGATGGCAAATGGACCGAGGTTTACACGACTGAACTGTGGTCATTACTCTGAGGAAACTATGGTAGACTTGTTTAGCTCTCTGGTAAGGAGTAAAATTGGACTTGAAGGAGTACGAGGCTGTTACTGGCTAGAAACTGCTGCACAGGGCAAGGCAAAAATCTGTCAGAAGTCATCCCAGGACTGTGATAAACCAGATGCTACTGATGTTTTCAGGGCAAGTGTTTGGATTTCTAAGAGCCAGCAGGTTACTGTCATGACAGCTTGCTGTGGAGGTTCTGTGGTTTGGGGTTGGGTTTGTTTTTTGTTTTTTTAGTGTTATGACTGGTGGAAGAAAGAGGTCACTGGTCCCTCTTGGCCATAAAGCTCTTGTTTGAATGGGAATCTTATAAATGATGTTTGTGCAGATCTACTGAATATTGCAGACCTCTGTGCTTGAGGTCAGTTAGTGGAGAAATGAAAATGCCTTTCTGGTAAATGAGAAATGATGCATTTTAAAACTTCACTTCCCTCTTACGCATTGGGAAGAGGGTTTGTATTAATCCATTATTATTGTTCTAATATTGTTATTAATTGTTTTTAATCTGTTGTTTCTTGGCCTTCATAAACAGATCATTACTTTTTTGCTTTTTTTTTTTTTTTTAGGTAGATTCGTTTTCATATTTTTAGAAGAGCTTAATGTTCGAGACTTGCTAAGCTGTAACTGGTGGTGTGTGCACGTATTTTTCTACCAGAAGTCAGAGAAGGGGACGAGGAGTAGGTTTTTGCTTCTGAAGCACTCAGGTTAGAGATGAAGTGAAGTGTGATGTTGCCAGTGTGGTTTGTGCCTTCAGGTGAAGGGTCTCTTTACCTTGGACTGTACAATTCTTCATTACCTGATGCCTCAGAAATCAGTGTGCCTTTGTCTGCCATGATTTCCCATGCATTTTCCCCTTTCATCTCTTCATAAAACAATCTAAGATTAATGTGATCTAACGTGCTACAAAACCCACCATTATTTAATAGTTCCTCCAGTTGCATCTGTGATATAGTTCACTTTTCATCAGATTGCTGTGGCTTTTATTTAAAACTGAAAAATTAGGACTTAGACAGTTGGATGGTATTTTTTTCTGTGTCTTGGAGGTCAGGTGAAATAGCATTTTTGGCAAGGTGCACTGAAGATACAGGGAAGTTCTGGGTGTAGGGTTAAACTCTGTATGTCTGGTCAGAGGTGTATGCAGGTAAAGGATCCCTCAGTGTGAGTTATATGAACATAATCAGGTGGAGAGCTTTGTTCTTGTTTCACAGCATTAATGGTTAGGGGAGACATGAACTGTATTCATGTTTCATGTGTAGAAGGGCTTTTTGGTTTGTTTTTTCCTTTTTTTTTTTTTTTCAGGAAGATAGGTCAGGCTCGGGCACATAGGAACCTTTCAAACTCTGTCTTTGGGAGCTGGAGAAATCTGATTCCTTTGGACATCTGTAATCCACCTTTATGATGATGTCGCGTCTCAAAAATGCCCGCATTAAAAATATTTGCTGCGGTCCATGTGATATGGGATTTACTTTAGTTCAAATCGAGTAGAGCAAAGATATTTTTTCTTCCTCCTGAGAGGGTGGGCTAGGAGAAGAAAAGAGGGAGAAACAGGTCTCAGTTTCTGATCTGTCACCATTCATCTCCTGTGGCAGCCAGTGTGCAGACTTAAATACTGTATTCTTTGTCCCCAGCATATTTAACCTCATTAATTTCCTATGAAATGTTAAATACTTGGGTTGCTTTGCCAATGGTTTCTTCAAAAGAGTCCGGTTTCTTCAAAAGAGTCCAGTTCCTTATACTGTAAGGAGGGGTATGTGTTATTGTTGAGTGGCACCAGAGATGCAGTTGTAATTAAAGCTTTTTTGCATGATCCTGCTTCTGGCTGAGCTGGTGGCTCGTCCGTGTCTGGGATTGTGCTCGGCTCCTCTTCCAGTTCTCCTGCTGAGGAACCCTCACATTTCAACCCACTCAAGAGATTCAGGTAGTAAACTGCCACCCATTTCTTTGGTGGCACATGGGAGCCGTTTGGACTTTGAAAGTGGTTGTTGCCACCTTCAAATGTTTCAAGTGTTACGTTGATAAGCAATTTCCTCCAGGGTGGACTTTTACCAGCAAGTGATTTAAGTTGCTTAGGAAGATATGGGGGATGCAACTGCCTTGCAGACTTCAGGGATGGTGTGTTCACATTTACAGTTGGCACTGTGCTGAGCACTTTGTAGGGATGACTCTCCTAGAGTGGAATTGCTGTTCAATGAAAGGAGTATATTCTCTCCTAATCACCTTTAGTCTCTCAGCTTACACCTCACGTGTGGTTTCAGAGTGTGTGCTACTTGCAGAGTCACAGAGTACGCAGCGATCCAAGTGCAGGTGCTGTGTCATTCTTCTGTGGTAATTGGCCAAGGCTGGGAAGGGAAAAGCTCTGACTCTTTCATAGACTGTACAAAAATGCTGGGCATTGACACCCTAAATATTGAATAATCTTTTCCAAGTTATATATTTGGCAGGCAAGCTGAGGTAGAGAGCCTTCATTAAACTCTCCAGATATTCTTGTGGGTTATAAATATTTGTGTCAGGAGATTCACAGTCCGAACAGGCTTGCTATTTGCTCCACATGGACAAACCTAGTCAGAACACCCTGCTTGTGTTTGCAAGCAGAAAGGAGTTTGTTGGTTTTTTTGTCCTGTGAAAGGGTTATGAACATAGGATGATTTTATTTTTCTCCTTATGATTATCTTGCTACAGACCTTTCAATTTTAGTGTAACTGGCACTGTTCCCTGCCAGTTTTGAAATGGAGTCAAACAGACCAGTCCATGAATAGATTGAGAACACTGTCCATACCTTTTTCTGAAATACCTTATTTTTAAAATGCTTTTAAGGAATTAACCAGTCAAAGTCTAGGTTAAAAGAAGCAGTGATTCAGTTAGTAATACTTTGTTTCCTTTGCGAAATGCTGTAAACTATTTGGAGAAAGAAGCGTATCA